CACAGAGACACATTGACCGGAGGGTCTTATTTGAGCATAGCCATGAGAGGCTAATGAGATATGTGTGGTATTTTGGAGAACTCACTAAGCTCCGTGTTTACCATGTTATGTGTTATGTGTTTCAGGTACTTCTCAGGATCACGCGAAGGCACCAGCTTAATTGTACACACACGAGTTGGAGATATGTTTTGGAGGATCCTGGATTGTGTTTTAAACAATTTATGAACATGTGTGTTTTATAACTCGATATTTTTGGGGTTTTTTGTGATTGTGCTAATGAGATTAAAGTGAATTTTAAATGAAAAATTTGTTTGAAAATTTACGGTGTTACAAGATTGGCCTCAACGAAGATGAGTCTATTAAGGTTCCATGAGGTAATCATCCCATGGGAAGAGACCAAGCAAAATGAAAGGGTAAAAGGGCTGCAAGTAGTTCGAATGATATCGAAAAAATGATGACCGAGATAAACAATTTGAAAACTACTTTGGAGCAATACTTGAGTGTTGCAAAAGAGAAGGAAAAAAAACCATGACATGGAAATCTTAATGAAAGATACTAGTAACCTTATTGGGTGTGGAAAAAATTTGTGTTAAAGGCCAAAGACGTGATTGCAACGAAATATAATACACAGGTTTATCTATGTTTCATACTTTTAATATCTGTGTTTCGTATTTTTTATGTCTATGTTTTATTTTTCCTTTTTTTAAGTGTTATTGTAATTTTCCTTTCAAGTTAATTGAATTTTAGTTTTTATAAAAATTAATTTGTTTAAACTGATTATTTATCATATAAATTAATTTTAATTTAAAAAATATATATATAACATGATAAAAGTAACAAACAGCCTTCTAAATAGAAAACTTTTGAAGATATGTGACAAATATAACATGACCTATATCAGAAAAAATTTAGTACCGCAAAAATGACCACTCTCTGACCTAACAAATAACGAATACGTGTATTAAATAGAGACAGGAAGCAAAAATAACAAATACGTGTATTGAAAGAGACAGGAAGCATCGTGCTTTAGAGATGCAACAAAAACCAACCTAAAAAATGTAATTGTAAGACTTGGCTATTTATGACCAAGCAAATAAATATCCTCCTCCAATGAATCACCACCCTTTACGTCATCGTTTAGAGAATACTCCATATCAATATTGGAGTGGATGTCTCTTGAAGAATCTAACCAATGGCAATGTGAATGATAAGGGTAACTTAACTTGTACCTATCCTTTATCATATGCCTCGCATTTCTATCTCTTGTAAGTCTTAATATTTTCTTTATCTTTTTCTTTATAAATTGCCTTTTTAAAGTGATTTTGACACCTCGTGTTTCTTATGCCACAAATTAGAAAAATTCTTTCTTTCGGAGGCAGAGCATCATCATTCGTCGAAAGGTCACTGATAAAGTTTCAACTTAATTTTATCTTTCACATAAAAATGCATTTAAACCTTGATTAATGTTTTGTGAGACAGACAATCAAATGAAGAAAAAGGGTAAGGTTTATATTTATATACTAGTTTACAAGCCATGAGAATCACGGTTATAAAATTAATTAAACTTTCATAATAAAAATTCAAAATTATTAAACAATTATTTCAAAAAATTTATTTTAAATAAATTAGTAATTAAGAAATATTTTTTAGTTATATAAAATTATAAACATTGATTTAAATAAATACATGAAATTATATCATCTTATAATATATATTAATTTTATTATATTTTTTATTCTAATGTTATTAATTTAATGTGACTAAAGTGAAATTTAAATTTTGAAATTTGAAACAAAGAATCAATTACTAATTTAATTTAATTAGAGTGGGAAATTTATAATTTAAAATTTAAAATAGAGAATTAATAGGTTGACATGTGGCATGATAGGTGACATATAATATTAATGAGAAATTCTAATATTGTGACACTTGTCAATAGCAGAATAAACTTATTCATTTACTAGAAAAGAGATATTTTTCAAAATAAAGTGGTTTTGGTTTTATGTAGCAAATATGTTTTGAACTTGCTTTTATTATTATTATTATTATTATTATTATTATTATTATTATTATTATTATTATTAATTTTTTTTAGTTACCCAAATTTCATAAATAACCGTATATTTCGCAGCTGGTCACTACAAAAAGGTGGAAGCTAGGCATCGTAAAATGGTGATTTGTCCCTAAACAACATCGTTTTTTCATTTTGCACTTTGTAAATGAGCTCACTCTACAAACATAGTGCTAACTATGGAAAGACACACCATATGAAATCTTCGTGCAAAAGTGAACGTTGTAGTATGGGTGTGATTTCGTAATAAATTGTTTGGGGGCAAATCGTCATTTACAGTGCCCACCAACATTTTGCAACAATCCAACAACGTAATATATATGACTCTGAAATTTCATTAACTTTTTAATTATTTCTTGTATTATGATTAAGTCTATTTTTGGGATTTGTCTAAACACAAATGAGATCCAGCACTCGAGCACTCGAACAGGATGCTAACCATTTATCTAAATTCTTAGAAGTTTAAGAACAAATATTTTTTCTCTAAGAACTATATGCCCCGCTCAAATATTGATGTAGATATTTGATGTTTATATGACATTTTTGTTTGTGAAAACTTAAAAAATATTGAAGTTTTAAATGAAGCTAAAGTTTGAATGCTAAACAAAACATTTGTTATTTATTATAATTATCTTGTTTGGTAACTCATGTTTTAATGTTTAAGTAGTTTTGATCAAAGATAATGAGATTTAAAATGAAATTACAGGATAAAATTTTATAGATTTGAATATTTTATAAACTAGTAGAGTTTTTTTAATACGAACAAAATAAGACATGTCATATAGTAACAATTAATGGGAAGTCGAATGAAAATTATATATATAGTAACAATTTAACTTTTGTTAACATCCGATTATTTTTTTATAGAAATTTTTTTAGTTAACTTGATTTTGATGTTTAAAAAATACTAATACATTAAGTAATAATCTGTGTTTAAGTAGTTACTTTCACAAACAAGTGGTCATGAGTTCAAGACTTTTAAAAATATATATATGGTATTTAAAAATAAGTTAGCTAGTTGTCGTTTCAATAAAAAAAAGTAATAAACTATCATAATAGTGATTTTTAAACACGAAAAACGAAGTTAGTAATAATTCATATATAAAAAATAATAATTAAATACAAATAGCAAAAATCATTCCCCTGCTATATTATCATCCTTTCGTTTAATTATTCATTTGTTATCTCCAAATATTATTTGATTGTAAAAACCATCCAATCCGTCAGGTATCTCATAAACGCAGGAACCGTACAACAAAGCAAGACGAACCCAAGGAAACCGTTTACTGGTCCACGTGTCCATCAACCGAATGCCTTTTCCTCCATATGCCAAACCCGACCCGAGCCCCGAATTCCACTTACCAAGAAACCCGAGATATTCCGTGTTACACGAACCTACATGTGCAGTCACTTACGTGTCCTCGTCAAGGACACTTCTCACAATTTTATTGGTTGAAAATTTTGAACAGAGGTCCCACAGCACACTTCCCTGCCATCCGCAGAACAATCATGACTGTTACTTTAGGTCGACACGTGTAAGTCTCCACCAATCAGATTTTTTGTGTGTCGAGTTGGTTCGCGGGCACGAGTTTTTATATAATATATTTCGCCGGTTCAAACCAAACAAAAAAAGAAAGAGAAAGTTTGAACCGTTAACTTCACATGTGTTAGATCCCTCTTGTACACGCGGCCATTATCTAGGGCATCTCTTATCACCAATGATAACATCAGAATATTTTCAGATCTTGTGTGAAGATGTCGTGCATCTTTGCCATTTTAAAGATAAGTCACTAAAATAACTTATGATTAATAACAAACTATTTTCTTTCAACAAGCAATGTGGATATTTTGACAAAAACAGTGAAACACCCACTGTTTTAGTATGCAGATAATTATTTTAAGATATTTATAATATATATTATTCTTGTTTTATAGGACCTTCTAACTTTTTTCATTAAATGTATTTTAAGTATTTGATGTTAAATAAGAAAGTCTTCATTTAGGTATACGTTAAATTAGATATCATAAGGATAAAGTCTTTAAAAAACGAACATCTTTTGTTGAGTTCATTATTAAAGCCCGTATTTATGGAAGATAACAAGATCTTTTTTTTTTTAAATTCAATTTCTGAAAACTATATAGTTTGATGAAAGAATGAATGAAATAAAATATTTAGTTGACATTCAATAGATTAAACTTAACCATAGTAATATTTGGAATATTATAACATGATATATTATATTAGAGTCAATAGATATGAAGTTCAATAATTAAACATTTAACTGACAAAAATAATTGTTTTTAATCTTTTAATAAATGTTAAATTAAATTTTGTAATAAGTGATGTTTTAAAATACGTTTTATTGACTTCTGGAGTTCAATCGTATGGTTAAAAGAATAACAAAATTATATAAAGAATAAAATAAAATAATAATATGAAAACCTTTAGAAATATATATCATATAGATTTCAATATTATAAACATTTTAAAAGTTCCACTTAAAAAATATTCATTACTTTTAGATAAACTTTTATAAAAATAATAAAATTATATAAATTACTCATCAATATTTGATTAACACAAATCATTTAAATGATTCTTAAAACACTGATTTATTGACTATATATATTTTATATACAATCTTACCGGAAATAGATATTCATTTAATGATTGAATATTTGACTCGGATATTATAAAATGATATAGGTATGTTTTTTCCTTTTTTAAGTTAAAAAGAATAACACAAAATCTTGGTGACTCCTTTATATGTGTACCATTCCCATCGTCTGATCTTTATGCGCATTGCCAAATCATACAAAATCTTGGCAGAGACAAACAGAGAGGAGGAGGGGGGGCACGGTGCATTAATTGGACGGTAGAGGTGGTTGTTGTATAGCAAGATGCTCCAGCGGTGGAGGTGGTGGTCAGATGAGCATCAGTTATGGTATGTCGAAGGTGGAGAAAATAATGCTCAAGTTCAGGCCGATCGCGCCAAAGCCTCTAGCTGCTGGATCTGGTTCTAGTTCCTCTACGATGGAGAACAGCGATGGTTATGGAGGAACTCGACGACGTAAGAGAAAGTATGTTCGGGTTAACGGCAACAAAGCGAAGAAGGATACAAGTACGGTTTCGAAGAAACGAAAGGCTTCAACGTCTTTGCCTTCAATAGTTTCTGGTGGTGGAGACGCGGTGGTGACGTTGTCCTTGATGTCGGAGACGCCGGATTGGAAGGAGAAGTCACCGGCCAGGAGTTCATCAACCAAAAATCAAGATATGATCATATCTCCGTCCCCCATAGTAGTAAACCGTAACAAACTTGTACCGATCTGTTTTGATGGTCACGTGCGAGGAACGGAGAGGCACTTGGTTCCTGTCACCGATCATTCTGTTGCGATGGCATCACCTCTACCACTACGATCGCAAGTTGTTTCCTTCGTGACGATGGAAAGCGTGACGGAGGAGTGGCTGAACGGTGACGGATTAGGATTTACAGACGAAGCGAGGGTGATGAGCATGGAGACAGATGCGTGCCCGTCATTCATCACGAACAGCCGTGACATGGTGGTGTGGACGAATAAGGCATATAGTGAGATGACGGCCGGTGGTGTTGGAGACGAGACGGTGGTGGTGGTGAAGAAATATAATCGGGTAGCGATGCCGGTGTCTCTTCCGTCATTTACGTGCAAGGTGAAGGTCACGTGGGGTACTGAAAAAACTTCGTCTTCTTCCAACGTCACGGCGCCGTGCGACGTGTGGCGGTTGCAGAACGGTGGTTATGCATGGCGGTTAGATGTTAAAGCAACACTGTCTTTGCGCCGCTAAATTAGCTGAAGTTGTGTTAGTTATATTTTGTCGATAACCCTAGTTTTTTGCTTTTAAAAAAAGTCCAACTTAAAAGGGTGTAGATTAAAAGACAATTAATCCATATCATTTGTACATGTTCTAAGTGATCCTTTTTTTTATCCTTAGTTACGTTACTAACATTTATTTTAATGTTTGTTATATTGTACTATTAATACTCCCTTGTCTGGAAGGGTATGCTTGTCGAGCAAATTAGTTTATCCCACATGAGCTCGATTTGTTACAATTACTGCACGACTCTTCTTGGTGTCGTGTGCAAAAAAACGAAACCATATATAAGAAAAACTAAAAATAATTGAAAAACAAGCAATTTGGTGGTAGGTTGTTACAAAAACCAAATACAAATGGAAAAACTTATTCAAGAAAAGCAGGTATCCAGATTTTTGATGGGTTCCCACATGTCTCCTCTTCAAACAAGTAAGTCCCCTACAAATAGTGATTTCCAAAATATTAGGGTTAACCATACTATCCAAATTACATCCCCTGTCTCTTATGTTTTTACTGTTGATGCATAATGATTCTTATACAAAACTGTCTCAAAAAATTAGAAAATCATAAGTCGAAAATTTGTTCATCACTTTAGAAAATCATGTATCTCTTATGTTTTTACTACTTTACCTCAACCTCGTGAGCTCTAGAAGAAACCACACAAAGGCATTAGTGTGGTTTTTTGTTTAAGTTTTGTTGAGTCCAAACGGTTTGATCGCAGACTTGAGACAATTAAAACCTCCTAACCGGTTATTTTGGCCACAATTAATGGTCATTTTGGACCCAATATCATCCCATTCTTGCTATCAATTTTCCTGAAGATAAAGTAGTTTGTATCTTTTTTTGTTCACTTTACAAGTGATTTGCAACCCTGATTTATCATATCAATATATATTAGTTGTATGTTTCTTTATGTGGATGTACACCATCTAGCTAATGGTGGAATCATGTTAAACGCATGTGTCTCATAATTTTGTCAATTACATTTGTTTTGTTGGTATGTATTGCCCATGTTATTAGATAATTTTATTGTATTTCCGCATCCAATATATGTTGTTATTTGTATCATTGTTGGGTTTTAAACTTATTTATGGGATTAAGTGTTTAATATATCTTCAGGTGTGTTTTGCAATTGCACAGCTACTCGAGATATATTTGGATTTCCATTAGATATCATTTAGATATACCTTAGAATCCACAACATTTGCCTTTGCTAACATCTTCTCAATTGATAACTTCTTTATGCTTCCCATTTGTCTTTTTCCTTCCTCGATATGTCACTAGCCTCCTGATTTGAAAATGTTTCCTCTTTACATGTCCTTGTTGTGTGTCCTTTGATTTCATAGTTTTCACATGTTGCTTTATAAAACATTTATTTTTTCCTCCTTGAGTCGGGATGCCAATCATCAACTCCCAAGTCCTCTTCTTTATTGTCTTCATCATACACAACTTCATTATATTAAAAACATCATGATGATAAAACTCTTCATTTGAAACAATATTGTAAGCAAATTCCCAAATTTTAGTCTCAAACATTGATGATACATCATCAAAATAGTCCTCACATTGTTGCTTTATGCTCGCCACAACCTTATAGTAATCCATATCAACTTGTTGGTTAGTGTTTTCCGTAGACATTACTTATTCATAAATGGTCAAGTCCTCAAACTCATGATAGTTTCCATAAGATAACATGGTTCCAACTATAGTATCCCAAACTATTCTATATCTACATTTTGCTCATTGTTGGATGTGGAATCATGAACATTCCAAGTTTGTTAAGGTAACTTGAATATGTGTATTTTTGTTACCATACGAGTAATTTAAATATCAATCAACTTATGTTACCCTAAACTTCTTTAACTCTAACATTTCAGCATAGTCCATTTAACCGTCAAAATGTTTCCTACCTATGATACTTTGAAAACTTACCACATAGTTAGACCCGAAAATTTGATACACGACACGACTAACACGACACGAACATGACACGAGTTTTCTTTGTATGAGTTTTAGAAATTCATGGTTCATGTCTATTCGTGCCGACATGAATTTGAAATTCATGTTTTGTGTCTTAGATGTGTCAAACACGAATTTACGTGTGTAAACACTTATAAGAAACGAATTAAATCCGTATGACACGATAAACGAATATATATATATATATATATATATATATATATATATGTAGAGACTAGAGAGAGAGAGAGCACTACAAGAATAATAGGCAATAGCGGCGACACTTTTAGCAGCGATTGACACTTTTAGCGGCGACATCAAACAAACGCGTTTTTTGTCGCCGCTAAAAGTGTCCGTCGCCGCTAAAGGCGTCGCCGCTAAAGGCTTATGTTGGCGATCTGCATCATTTCAACCCTAACCGTCGATTTAGGCGATGATCCAACGACTAGGAGGACGTAGAAAACCCCGCGTTGTTTTCCCTCCGGTTTGTCGCCGCTAAAGGCTATTCGTCGTCGCTATTGCCTGTTTTGGCGATCCGCGTCATTTCAACCCCATCCGTCGATTTAAGCGATGATCCAACGACGTAGGAAACCCCGGATTGTTTTCCCTCCGATGTGTCGCCGCTAAAGGTTGCCCATCGCCGCTAAAGGCGTTGCCGCTAAAGAGCGTCGACAATAAAACCTGCTTCGTCTTCACTTTCTTCCCTACTCTTCTGTTTCTTCTCTTTTCTCTCTCCTCACCACCGTCGATCTCATCGGAATTTCACCGAATTCTTCGATATTTCACCCCTCTTCCTCTCCATTTTTTCCCATTTTCTTTTCCTTTTCTCTTCTCCCTACTAAATTTGTGTTGGTTGTCGGAATTTTGAGATCCCCCACCGTTCTCGCCGGAGTTTACCGCCACCACCACTGTTCATGACGAAATTTTGATAATTTTGATATTTTAGATGTGTATTTGTACGTGTATTTTGTGTTTGTAGATGTGGATATGTATTTGTATTTGTATTTGTATGTATATGTGTATCTTGAGTGTATTTTATGTATGTATATGTGTTTTTCTATGATCATTTATATGTATATGTGTATTTTGTATGTGAATTATGTATGTGTATGTGTTTTTGTATGTATATGTGCATTTTGTATGTGTATTTGTATGTATAAAAATACATATAAATAGCGGCGACACCTTTAGTGGCGACAGATAGTATTAGCAGTGACGCACCTTTAGCGGCGACACCTTTAATAAGTCACGACCTCAAAATAACTCTATGAAGAATTGCTACTGTAGATGTGTGCTAGGGTTACAATACGATCAAAGAGAATCAATTGTCAAAAACTGTACATACTAAGGTGCATGCATGCACTATATAAAGTAAACCCTAATAAATGTAATACGGATGGACAGGCCCATAACCATGAAAACAATAGACCTAGACAAAAGGCCCAATGATGCAACACTTCATAACTCAACAATGTGTTAGGCGGAGGCTAGTTCGAGATTCGTATATGAGGTTATTTGCTTACTTGCTTACAAGGTGAGTCTTCTCACTATACTTACCTAGAGTGGTAATCTTTGTGTGATCGGAGGGTCTTACGTGCTTATATTGAGTATTATCATATCCTGCATTATGTCTTTGTGATTTATGATGTGTATTATTCTGAGCTTACTGAGTTAGGACCAGAGGGTCCACCCGAGTTGTGGGACCAAAAGGTCCCACTGAGACACATTGACCGGAGGGTCTTATTTGAGCATAGCCAAGAGAGGCTAATGAGATATGTGTGGTATTTTGGGGAACTCACTAAGCTTCGTGCTTACCGTGTTATGTGTTATGTGTTTCTGGTACTTCTCAGGATCACGGGAAGGCACCGACTTAATTGTACACACACGAGTTGGAGATATGTTTGGGGATCCTGGATTGTGTTTTAAACAATTTATGAACATGTGTTTTTGATAACTCGATATTTTTGGGGTTTTTTGTGATTGTGCTAATGAGATTAAAGTGAATTTTAAATGAAAATTTTGTTTGAAAATTTACGGTGTTACAAGATTGACCTCAACGAAGATGAGTCTATTAAGGTTCCATGAGGTAATCATCCCATGGTAAGAGACCATACAAAATGAAAAGGGTAAAAGGACTGCAAGTAGTTCGAATGATATCGAAAAAATGATGACGGAGATAAACAATTTGAAAACTACTTTGGAGCAATACTTGAGTGTTGCAAAAGAGAAGGAAAAAAAACCATGACATGGAAATCTTAATGAAAGATACTAGTAACCTTATTGGGTGTGGAAAAAATTTGTGTTAAAGGCCAAAGACGTGATTGCAAAGAAATATAATACACAGGTTTATCTATGTTTCATACTTTTAATATCTATGTTTCGTATTTTTTATGTCTATGTTTTATTTTTCCTTTTTTTTAAATGTTATTGTAATTTTCCTTTCAAGTTAATTGAATTTTAGTTTTTATAAAAATTAATTTGTTTAAACTGATTATTTATCATATAAATTAATTTTAGTTTAAAATATATATATATATATATATATATATATATATATATATTATATATATATATATATATATATATATATATATATATATATATATATAACATGATAAAAGTAACAAACAGCCTTCTAAATAGAAAACTTTTGAAGATATGTGATAAATATAACATGACCTATATCAGAAAAAATTTAGTACCGTAAAAATGACCACTCTCTAACCTAACAAATAACGAATACGTGTATTAAAAAGAGACAGGAAGCAAAAATAACAAATACGTGTATTAAAAGAGACAGGAAGCAAAAATAACAAATACGTGTATCGAAAGAGACAGGAAGCATCGTGCTTTAGAGATGCAGCAAAAACCGACCTAAAAAAGGTAATTGTAAGACTTGGCTATTTATGACCAAGCAAATAAATATCCTCCTCCAATGAATCACCACCCTTTACGTCATCGTTTAGAGAATACTCCATATCAATATTGGAGTGGATGTCTCTTGAAGAATCTAA